CACTGATGAATTTTCTGCCCTCACCAAGGTTACATTTTGGTCTGCGATGGAGAAGGAAGATAGTAAATAGTAAACAAGATAGTAAATAAATACACAGCTCTGTGTATGTGTGCATGAGTGCATGCACTTGTGCATGTGTTTGTGCTTGTATGTAGTGGCTTAGATGTTAACTGACTTGTCCCAGCTCACAGAGATGCTGCTGGATTTGAACCCAGTTGTCACGATCATACGTAAGCCCTAACTCCATGGTATGTGCTTATCCTCACAACAACCTTACTTTATCCTATTTTGCAGATGGGGGAAAAAAGCAGAGAGGCTAGATAACTTAGTGACCCAAGGCCACTTAGCCACTAAATGGTGGAACTGGACTTGAACCCAGGCGCGTTGGCTCCAGAGCCCGTCTTCCTAACTCTGTGCTACACAAACTCTGCGAGGTTTGGTATTTAGGGCTTCAGTGATGGTGGCTGCAAGCCCAGGGCCACCCTCTCCTCCCACCCAGCCAAGAAGGATCAGAAGAGCCCATCCTGGCCCTGTCTCCAAACTATCCAAGATAATTGAGTCGCCTCTTGTCCCACCACTTGGGGAGAGTGGGTAGGAGTGGGTGCCGTGGATGGTCCCTGCTCTCAGGGAGCGGGATGAGCTGGCCTGGGTGGGGAACAAACCCTGCTGGGCTGTGAGGTGAGGAGCTCAGGTACAGGGGGCAGGGAAGGCTTCCTGAAGGAAGGGCCCAGAAAACTGAGTAGGACTCAGATGTACATTTCCAAGAAGGAATAGGGTGAGCTGAGGCTTGTAGGGAGGAAGTGCAAAGCTGCCCACGGCTCTCAGTCTGCCAAGCTGAGAAGCATGACTGCCTACGGGCTGGGGGCCCTGATGGAAAGGATCGTGTCAGGTCTGGGCTTTGGAAGAGCCTCTGACTGCAGAGTGAATGGTGGACTGGGGCAGTGAGATCCGAATAAGGCTATCAGATAAGGCCTGTTGCAGGCGTCCAGGTGAGAAGGGTGGAGACAGCCAGGGGACAGAGCTGAAGGGCTCACCGAGGCTGAAGCCAAGGTGAGTTTGGAATCACCTGGCCTTCCCCCGCTTCCCTCATCTCTCTGACTTCCGTTCCTCAAATTTCCACCTCGCTCACTCTATTCTTTGCTCTTGCCTTATTAAAGAAAACTTATGCTGACACTTATTCAAATGCTGATGACTTTATTCAAGACTATTGCTGTAGGGAAGAGAGATTGGACTCAGCTCTGAGGGCAGCAAAAATAGCTGGGAACTTGCAAGCAAAGAGCAGTGAGGGGTCAGTGGACAGAAAGTTACCAAGAGGAGGCTTCAAGGATAGGGAAGTGCTTGCTAAACTGGCCTAACAGGGTTCTGCTAAAGGCAGGCCAAGGACTTAGATGTCAAGGGGAGAGGGGTTCTTGCTAGACTGACTCAGGATTTTTTGCTAAAAGAGTGTACATATTTGTGACCAGGCATACATGCATATATGCACACAGACATACACACACATAAGAACTCATATACATCCACACACCCACACCCCCTCCCACACGTACATAGATGCACATGTGCACACAATACATACGCCCATGCCCAAGCAATGTCTACATGAGCACACACACAGCGTGTACACGGGTGTTACACACATACATATGCGCATGTGCACACACACACACACGCGCGCACTTCAGACACGCTGACTCTGACCCCCTCCTCTTGTGGCCGCAGCCACTTGCTGGGGCTCCTTGTGTGAGACTCCGGAGCCTGAGCAGGTGGCCCCAGTGATCCTTTGCTGCCACCTTGTGGCCACTTCCCAGATAGCAGCACTTAGGAGGCCCTGGTTTTCCCCAGGTTAGGTTCCCGTCCCTCAGTTCAGTTCAGTTCAGCTCAGTCGTTCCGCAGCGTCGGACTCTTTGGGACCCCATGGACTGCAGCACGCCAAGCCTCCCTGTCCATCACCAACTCCCAGAGCCTACTCAAACTCATGTCCATCGTGTCGGTGAGGCCATCCAACCATCTCATCCTCTGTCGTCCCCCCTTCCTCCCACCTTCAATCTTTCCCAGCATCAGTGTCTTTTCTAATGAGTCGGTTCTTCACATCAGGTGGCCAAAGTACTGGAGCTTCAGCATCAGTCCTTCCAATGAACATTCAGGGCTGCTTTCCTTTAGGATTGACTTCCATCCCTACGAAGACCCAGATCCAGCCCTGGAAAATTTGGAGCGGCCCCACAGCCTTGCTTACGCCGGAGCACTCGGTTTTGCCAGCTGTGGTGGGTGATCAGTGGGGTCGGGGGCAGGGTGATGACCCAACCCTCTCCACTACCCCCTTATCCTTTTCATGCCCCTTGCCTGTAGGACCCCGAGATGCCGCTCTCGCTATGTGGGCCCCACCCATGCCCTCCGTCTCCCCCAAAGCTCTGTGAGCCCTTTGGGGGCAGAGACTGTTGCTATGCCCCACTCAGGACCTGGGGGCTCCCACGGCCTCTGGAACAGACAGGTCCTCATGAGTGGGGGTGCAGGAGGGAAGAGATGGGCTTGATCAACTCTTACCAGGGGAGCTGAAGGCTCTGCCCACTGCAGCAGACCACCGACCCAAGTTTTAGCGAGGAGAGAGAGCAAAGGCATGAGATTTTTTTCACAGTCTTTTAATCTTGCCCTAAGTTATTACTTGTTTACTGATATTTTTATTAGAAAACAGAGGGAGTTTTCATCTCTAAATGCCCCCTAAATGGCAAGAGTTATTGCATATGATCTCTGTCACCTCCTCTTAAGTTGTTAAGGGGGAGGGGTGAGCTTTGCAAGGGGATGTTTAAACAAGGAGAGAAACCTCCCTGGGGCCAGGCTGAAAACTGAGTGCTGGCCACATCCGACAACTACTGGATATGATTTGGAGTAGGAAATAGAAGGAACTCTATGCAAACCCCTCTCAACTGATGTCTGCCTCTTGGAGTTCTGTCTCTCACTGCCTTATAAAGAGAAGCATTTAGGTCTTTCTAAAGTCTGACAAGAAGAAGGGCATCTTTTCCGGTATTTGGCCGAAAATTAATTTTAAAATGTTATTTGAACGCTTCTAATGTGCCAGTTATTGCTGCAAGGTTCTGGGATAGAGTCATGAGTGATAAGTCTTGGGGCTCACGTTACAGAAGGGGAGACAGAGAGTAAACGAATCAACAGAGATGTGTGAAATCCTGCCGGGGAAGGATGAGGAGATGGAGAAAAATAGAGCAGGGTGGGGAGACAGAGAGTGACCAGGGCACAGAATGGGGTGCTTGCTGAGTCGCTCAGTCGTGTCTGACTCTTGAGACCCCATGGACTGTAGCCCGCCAGGCTCCTCTGTCNTTTCTCCACTCTTCCCACTCTCTCCTTCCCCACTGTGTTCAGAAGTCTGTTCTCAATATCTGCATCTCCATTCTGTCCCTGCAAATAGGTTCATCAATACCATTTTTCTAGATTCCATATATAGGTGTTAATATATATTTCTTTTTCTCTTTCTGACTTACTTCACTCTCTTTGTCAGAGTCTAGATTCATCCAGGGGACTCCTTTTGATGTCTATACTGGATACAATTTAAGACTGATTTACCCTGACTCTGAGAAATGTACTTTGGAACGACTGTGTGATTGTCTTTTTTGAGCCCAGGACCCACCGTGCCTTGGGTAGTCCCATCTTACACGCTTTCCTGGAGTCATTTATGTCATCCGGCCCCCATGGGACTCTGAGTTTGTGCCCACAAGCGGTGGGCATCAAGGGAAGCAGCAGACACAGGCTACAGGAAGACTGTCTCCAGGCAAGTGTAAGCAGCGGCTGGGTTGAAAGGACCGACTGTGGCCACGTCAATTCTTACACCAGAGAGATGGCTAGGTGATTCCGCGCCAGAGAAACTGGATCACTCCAAATAAGGAGTGTTTGGATTCATTTGAAGTCCAAGAAGTACATGTTAAAACAAATCACTCTGCTGCAGAGCAAAGACAGGCACATTATAAATCCAACTATACTTCAGTAAATTAAAAAACAAACATAAAACGATACTACCCACTGGTTGAGCAAGATAGCAGGCTGGGTGGTACCAGGTGCAGGAGTTAACGTGGGAGGGCACGCCTACCAGCGGTGGAGGACTGCTGATGCGAACAGATGGGCAATCTGAAGAACACCCTGGAACCTGTGCCCCATTCCTTGATTTATAACCCGGAGACGTTCTCATCCAGAGAGCACCTTTGGGGATGAATGGGGAAAGAGAAGGCGCTGCAGCTGTCCAGCCCTGGGAGAAGAAGCGAGTCAACCTGGAGGACCCCCAAACTGGGGTGCCATTGGTAAACAGCAGCAGCCGAGGAGATGGACGGATAGCACCTTGGAATAGATCTGAAGGCAGGGTCAAGTGAAAAAGTAAGAAGCAGAACAAGGTCGATAGCGCAGCACCATCTGGGTAACGTTAGCTCCAACCATTTGGACACTTAGAATTACATAGACAATTCTGTTTCGTCTCCATCTCATTCCCCCCTGGTCCCCATTATGCAGTTGCCTTTTCTACCTGGATACTTTCTAAGACTTCTTTTTTTTTAACCTGTTTAAAAATTTTGTCATCACATTGCTTGGAATGTCCTAGTGTCTTTTGCTCTGTACACACACTTGTTTCTGCAGCTTAGAAGAGTTTCTTAGTGTTGTTTCTTTAATTCTAGAGTTTATTTCATTTGTTCTGGGTTCTCAGTCATGGACATCATTTTTTTCCCATTCATCAGCTATCTCCCCCATTTTTCTAAAAGGACTATATTATCAATTGTAATTTTTATTTACTTGTCTTTTCCCTTCTGTGTTCTTCTCTGAACCAATTCAGTTATCCGTGGCATCAATTCCAATGTTCACTGCCTCCAGTGTGGCTTGGGTCCTGCCATTGTGTTTTTAGTTTCCTATTGCCCCCTATTGCCTTGCCTACTCCCTTCTGCATCTTGTCTTATTGCTTTCTCCAGGCCCCACGCCTTCTTGGGCTCCATGAGGATAAACGAAATGACCANTTTTTTTTTTCTTTTTACGCACCCACTGCTGCCCTGCACAGGACTTGGCCTCTCAAACGTACTGCATCAATGCCAACCTTGTCCTTTTTCTTCACCTTCTGTGCAACGTGTGAAGCTTAGAGAGGACAGCTACCAGAGTCCTGGTTGGCACAGACCCTGGGTCGGGGAACAGGGAGTGGGAAAGCTTGGAAGCCTCTTCCTGTTTTTTCTTATCCAGATGGTTCTTTGTGCTGGGAACCTACAAAGAGGGGGTCTTTAAGAAACCCAAACTGAATGAAGTGACTCCCTTCATATAGCTATTGATCCGCTCCCCCATTTCCTTCTTGTTAGAGTCCGAGTCCCTCAACCTGATTTACGGTTGTCTCCTAGACACCCTGGTTCGATCCCTGGGATGGGAAGATTCCCTGGAGAAGGGAAAGGCTACCCACTCCAGTATTCTGGCCTGGGGAATTCCATGGACGGTATAGTCCGTGGGGCCGCAAAGAGTCGGACACGACTGAGCGACTTTCGCTTTTCAACTTTCCAGTCTCCTCATGCCCTCCTCTTCCTGGTTCCCCACGTTGTCTTTGAACTCCGTGTGGCTTCCCGAGCCCTCCGTGCTCTCCACAGACCTCCGTGTGTTTACACAAGCTGCTCCCTGGGGCAACGGCCTTCCCCTGCCCACTCCGCTTCTACTTGGAGAAGACTAGTAAGCCAGGAGCATCTCCGGCGGGAACTTGGCTCTCGCATTCTGATGGATGCGGTCCCTCCACCCTCACCCTGTAGTGCGGTCTTTCATCCAATCGTTCCTTACACATCTCCTGGATCCGATTTAGTTTCAGACACTCTAGCATCCCTTCTTACACCCTCCTGTGAGGTGGCGAAGCCCCATCCTGTGAGGGACAGGTCTCGTTCACTGTGTCCGCGCGGCCCAGCAGTTGGTAATCAACACTCAACGTGTTAGGAGCGCGAAACTACCATCGCAAAGCTGAGCTTCCAGTGCTTCCGCTAGGGGGCAGCACTACACGACGTCGCCTTGAGACCCGGTTCCAACAGCAGGCGGTGCGGGGCTCCCCGGCAGGGCAGTGAGAACGGCCCCCAGCCCCGAGCCGGGCAGCTCCAGAATGTTCCGGACCTTCTGACCAAGGTCCTTCAGTTCTGCCTTTGGCCTGCCCCAGGACCACACATCCCACCTAGTTCAGTTTTCTTAAGAACATTTTCAAATCCAGGAAAGCATATGAGGGCCAAGGAAAGGGAGGGGCTTTGTCCTGGTGGAGGAAAGGTTCACGGTGATGACCAGTAGAAGCTCGGACTAAACCTTCAAGGATTGCTTAGGATATGCAAGGGCGGGATGAACATCCCACAAAATTGGACATTTATTAAACTATTCCTTTTTGGCTTAGCATTTAAAACAAAAAGCCACATTACCTAAATTGCTTGGGAAATCTGAAAAGACCTATGCATAATCCGTCTTTGCAAAGACAGAAGCTCAATCTGCCTGTGCTCGTGAGAACAGACTATAAAAACAGTCTCCGGCTCTGGGGTCTGAACGCCACCTCGATGGTGAGGAGGTGGGCAGTAGGGGGGCAGTGCCAGTCCTGCAAGGTAAGGTGGGCAGAAATTAACATCCCCAAATGCCCTCTTCCAAACTGTCATTTAACCAGGTTAAAAAAAGCTATTCCCAATCAGGCTGCTTCTGATGGCCTCGGAGCTGATGTGGAAGCCGCCAAATGTGTGTATTTGTGGAGTTGTAAGTAGGTCAGATATTTCTGTCGCTAATTATTACTTGTGAAAAAATATGTCGTGAGCTTGCCGCGGGGAGAGAATATTGAAAGCAGCATTGATCTTCGGAAACTCCACTCAGATTTATCCGCACATTATCCGCACAGGGCTGGCATCCCGAGGACTGTCGAGAGAGGAAGACATGTCCTAAATCCGGGTCCGCAGGGGCAGTTGCTGGAATTCCAACAGGAAGACTGGGAACCTGGGTTCTAGCCCTTGATTTAAAAAAAAAATGTATATATTTTTTAATGAAGGATAATTGCTTTATAGAATTTTGTTTTGTCAAACATGAACGTGAATCAGCCATAGGTCCACATATGTCCCCTCCTTCCCGAACCTCCCTCCCATCTCCCTCCCCACCCCACCCCTTTAGGTCGACACAGAACCCGTTTGAGTTCCCTGAGGCACACAGCACATTCCCATTGACCGTCTGTTTTGCACATGGTGGAGTAAGTTTCCAAGTTACTCTGTCCATACACCTCACCCTCTCCTCCCCTCTCCCCGGGTCCACAAGTCTGTTCTGTGTCTGTTTCTCCATTCAGTCAGTTCAAGCGCTCACTCGTGTCCAACTCTTTGCGACCCCATGAACTGCAACACGCCAGGCTTCCCCATCCATCACCAACTCTCGGAGTTTACCCAAACCCATGTCCATTGAGTCGGTGATGCCATCCAACCATCTCATCCTCTGTCATTCCCTTCTCCTCCTGCCTTCAATCTTTCCCAGCATCAAGGTCTTTTTCAGTGAGTCAGCTCTTCGCATGAGGTGGCCAAAGTATTGGAGTTTCAGCTTCAACATCAGTCCTTCTAATGAACGTTCAGGACTGACCTCCTTTAGGATGGACTGGTTGGATCTCCTTGCAGTCCAAGGGACTCTCAAGAGTCTTCTCCAACACCACAGTTCAAAAGCATCCCTGCAAATTAGCCCTTGATTTTCACATCCCTCTTCTGAGCTTCAGTTTTCTCATTGGGTTAAATTTTATACTCAGTGCATAGGTTCTGATGCCATGACCTCCTCAGTGGAAAGTCACTTTCAGGGGACCTGAGATTTCCCTTCTGTTTAAGGGATACGTGGGACTCCCTGGTGCTCTAGTGGTCCAGTGCTCCCAATGTAGGGGATGTGGGCCTGACCCCTGCTTGAGGAACTAAGATCCCATGTGCCACACGGCATGCCCCCCCCCCCAAACACATTAGGGATACTTTTTTTTTTTTTCAAGGGATACGTTTTTCTTTTCTGGAAGAGTCAGGCAAGGAATCAGTTCAGAAATGAGATAAAAAATTTTGGCATTGAATATTAGCAGGAAATTTTGCTGGATTTCCTTGGATCAGACCCACGTGCCTAAATATTTGCTGAGTGATGAATATGTGTTGAATGCTGTGGCAGGCGTGTTGGGCACACAAATGGGTATGACTCTGCCCACTTCTTTGTAGATCTAGGATTGGTGACTCCTTCTTATGGAGTTTCAGGGGATGGGATGATTTGTCCAAGGTTATGCACACAGTAACTAGTAGAGATTCAAACCCAGCTTCTTGCGTCAGTATCCTAAACCAGCCCTCATAGCTGTGCTTTAATGAGTGGTGAGGAGGGCAAAGACAGCCCCTCCCCATCTCCTAGATGTAAAACCTGGATACCGGGGCACGATGCTGCTCTAATTAGTTTTATTTTACAGGCTCTGAGACTTGTCAATGCTTTATGCAAAGTTATGCAGAATATGCAAATCAGGGGTGACTGTGGTTATGTTGTTACCACGACAGCACCTGTAAATCTCTGATCTGGAAAGTTCTGCCCGCAGAGCGTCCTGGTGGCATGCGCTGTGGGCAGGGTCCTGGGCTGCTTTCCACAAAGTCACACTCGCTCTCAAGTCCCTTCTGAGAGTTGTGTCCAGGAGTTGGAAGGTAAGTGCCCCTGCCATACCGACAGTATTGACCCCAAATATATGGGCAGGAGGGTTTCCCAGGAGGCTCAGCAGTAAAGAATATGCCTTCGAATGCAAGAGACACAGGGGATACGAGTTCGTTCCCTGGGTGGGGAAGACCCCCTGGAGGAGGGAATGGCAACCACTCCAGTGTTCTTGCCTGGGAAATCCCATGGAAGAGGAGCCTGGTGGACTACAGTCCATAGGCTGGCGAAGAGTCGGACACGACCGACTGACTGAGCCTGCACGCCCACTTCTGGGCAGGAATGAGTTCAGTTGATCTGAAAAGTTCTTGTTTTTGTTTTAAACAGTTGAGTCTCAGTTTCCTTGCCTTCAGAATGGGTATGTTGGTCTCAATGATCTTTAAGTTTCTGTGATAACTAGGGATCTTCGGAGTCCTGCATTGAGACTTCTGGAAATCACATCCTCTCTCTTCCTCTTCAGTACTCTGCTTAGTACTCTCTTTAGCCCCTGCCCCACCTCCCTCCAGCACTCCTCACCAGCCCCCCACCCCTGCAAGCTCCCCTGCAAGCCCTTTGGCCCTGTGCTTTTTTTTGCCTCTGGTGCTTTGCACATGCTGTTTCTGCTCCCTGGAATGTCTTTCCCTCTCCAATGTCTAACTCCTTCTCTTCCCTCATGGGCCAATTGATCATGTAATTTCTTTCTTTCCTTTTTTTTTTTTTTTGGCTGTACCATGCAGCACGTGGGATCTTAGTTCCCTGACGAGGGATAGAACCTCTGCAGTGAAAGCCGAGTCTTAACCTCTGGACCAACAAGGAAGTCCCTTTCACGAACCAGCTGAGTGTCACCTACTCCTGCCCAGCACCCCATGCAGAGCAGGTAGATTTGTCCCATTCTCTTAAAAATTTTTTATTTTGGCTGTGTTGTGTCTTGGTTGCAGCATGCAGGATCTAGTACCCCAACCAGGGATAGAACCTGGGCCCCCTGCATTGGGAGTGCAGAGTCTTAGCCACTGGACTAATGGAGGGAGGTCCTCCATCCTGGCCTCTTGATACCATTTACTAGCTGGCTACCCAGGAGATAGTAAGCCCAGGATTGGAAGCCCACTGGGGACAGAGACCCCAGGCATAGAGCCCACGACTGTCAGAGTAGTGATGCATCCATATTTAAGGGGTTAACAAATCAAAGAATAAATGTATCCCCTCATTTTAGTTTAGAATTGTCCAAAGGAAGCGGTCGCCATGAACTCCCTCTACCTAGCTTGTGACTTTAGATTAAAAATAGGTATAGGGACACCAGGCTTCTCTAACTCCCTAATATGAATTTTAATTTTTAATAACTTGAGAAATCAGTGAACTATACCTATGGGAAAATGATGAGGAATCAGCCACATAAATTACTGGAAAGTATGTGTTCACATTATCTAACTATATTAAGTGTGAATAACAATTAATTATGGATTCTACATGCAGTCTCGTCTTCGAGAATTCAATGTGAAGGAATTTAAAAAGTCATTCTTCACCCCCCTATGCTCCACCCCAGGCCATAACATAAAAAGCAATGGCCAAAGAATTTTCCATAATTTATGAAAATCATCTTCTTAGAGAAAAAATAACTCTCATTAGGAGCATAATAACTTGGAAAGAGAAACCGCACCCAAGTATGGTTGTTAATGCTGCCGTAGTCACCTGACCCCCTTCCCTTCCCCCCTGCATTTATTCCTTCTCCCATTCAGGTTCTGCACTCTGTGATGGGGTCTAGTCAGTGGAGAAGAACATGAACTCTAGAGCTGGGTTGTTTGAGTTCGAAACCAAGTTCATTTACTCCGCAGCTGTGTGGCCTGAGGCAAGTTGCTTAACCTCTCTGTGCCCCCACTTAATAATAGCTCCATCATATAGGGCTGGCATGTATGTGTGTGCACGCACATGCAAGGGTAGTAAATAAGCCAATACACGGATAGTGCTTAGTACAGAGCCTAAGCACCCTATCGGTAGAAAGATAGATGACAAGTAATTTTCCATCTTTAAGAGGCTCATGATGTCCCAAGTAGAGGGATGCATGTGTCTTGGGCTCTCGGAGGAGAAAAGAACCAGCGCCCAGCCCGTGAAGGAGACAGGTGTGGGCTCCGCCTCAACGGACAGCGTGGATTCTGCTTTTGTATTAGTTTTGCTGTGCTTCCACCACCTTCTTTCAGGGTGTGAGCCTGGCGTTAATGCCTGGTGCCACTTAAGACAGACTGAGTTTCTGTCCTTGGAGAGTTTGATCGCTGGTGAGGGAAAAGAGACTATAAATAAGCAGGCTCATTTAAAATTACAAATAGTGTGTGTTACATATGGAGTGAGGAAGGTGCTATGATAGGAAGGGATGGGGCTTCCCACAGAAGGGGCACGCGCGACATTCAGGTCACGATCTGAAGGGTAAGGAGGAGCTGGGGTAGGAAGGCTGCGGCCAGTAGCTTTCGGGTCTTGGCTTCTGTGCTGTTTTCTCCCGGGATTGGTCTTTCTCTGTTTCCATTTTTTAAAGTGTGGTCCTGCCATAGCAGACTGCAGAGCCAGCGCAGATGGAATCACAGCCATCAAGGATTAGAAGACTTGATTGGCGGTGGCATAGACTTGACCATAGTTTATGCTAACAAGGTGCCACAAGACAACGGGGAAAGGACCGAGTTTGGAAAACTGGCCTGCTCTAGGAAGAAAAAGAAAACAAATTCTGCCTTACCCCACACAAATGCTGGGCTCCAAGGCTGATTAAAGACATTAAGTTAAAACTCTAAAGGAGGTGGAAGAAAATTGGGGATAATAGATTTCTGATTTGGGGGGTGGGGCAGGGTGGAAAAAGTTTTCCTCACCAAGACCAAAAAGGTGCAATGAGCCAAAACATTGTTAAATTGTACTGTATGAAAAATTAAAGACTTGTGTTCAGCAGAGGAGAGCACAGACAAAGTAGGGAAACCCAAGCTGCGCATACATCATCCATCTGTATCATGTCTACAAGTGTTTATTACTTAGAACGTACAAGACTCTTTCTGGCCACTGATGGGCTTCCCTTGTGGCTCAGCTGGTAAAGAATCCACCGGCAATGCGGGAGACCTGGGTTCAATCCCTGGGTTGGGACAATCCCCTGGAGAAGGGAAAGGCCAATGAAGGGGAAACCTCAGTAAATTCAATACGAATGGCCATCAAGTCGTGAAGAGATACACAAACGCACTAAAATCCAAGATACAAAAATGAAAACAACACATGGAAGCCACCTTCTAGACCTCAAAATGATGACACTTAGAAAGGTAGGATACCAAAGATGCAGTGACCGGGGCTGCAGCCGGGGGCCGTTCTCAGGAAGGCCGAGGATGGCAGCTTGAGGGCAGCTGGCCGGGAGGCCAAGGGCCTCCTGAAGGCCGGTTACGGCCCCACAACTAGCCATGCCTGTGGCCCAGGGCTGGCTGTGCCTGGAAAAGGGGGATGTTGTTACTTAATTGCTCAGTTGTGCCTGATTCTTTGGAACGCCCTGGACTCTAGCCTGCCGGGCTCCTGTGTCCGTGGGATATCTCAGGCAAGGACACTGGAGTGGGTTGACATTTCCTTCTTCAGGGGTTCTTCCCGACCCTGGGCTCGAACCCGCATCTCCTGCACTAGCGTAAGGATTTCCTTCCAGATTACACACAATACCGCCGCCAGTTTAGCTATGGGTTTGTAGGGCGGCATCCGCCTGAAGGGGGAGCCCTTCTCTGATTCACTCAGGACCACAGTTTGGGCTTCAAAACCTGGGTCTGTGGAAAGCCATTCACCCACACTTAAGGAAACTGGACACTTATCCAGCAAGATGACTCCTGGATGTCCATCTCAGAGACATCACGTTGAACCAAAGGGATCCTTCATGAAGCTGCCACAGCGGCTGAGTGTGGAGGGTCGGGGAGTCTGGAGGGGACCCACAAGTCCATCACTGGGGGAGGGGATGGGGAAAATGACTTTGGGTTCTCACCATGGAATACTGTGCACGGTTAGAAGCAACTATTACATGCCACTGAACACATCTTGGTGCTGAGTGGAGGAAAAAAAATAAAAAGAACCAGCCTGAGAGCTATAGCATAGAATTAGTCATGTTAATTAAAAGCATATACAAACACAGAACAGCAGGGCATGCTGTGTAAGGATTCATACATATTTAAGAATATATATCAACCACATCAGTAAGACGCTTCCAGGGGGAAGGGAATGATAGTGGGGATCAGGGATGAAAGAGAAAAAAAAGTTGAAAAACAGAACCATGGACCTGAGGGAAGGGTCCTGACCAGTTCAACAGGGAGGATATGCTGGGGGCAAGGAGATGAGGGCCTTTGCTTCCGGCACCCAAGGCTGATAAAGGTGGAAAAGACAACCAAACTGATACAAAAGCAGAATGCACCCGTCAGGTTGAGTCCACACCTTTCTCCTTCAAATGCATGCTCAGCCATGTCCAACTCTTTGCAAGTCTATGGACTGTAGCCCGCCAGGCTCCTCTGTCCACAGGATTTTCCCGGTAAGAATACTGGAGTGGGTTGCCATTTACTCTTCCAGGGAATCTTCTCGACCCAGGGATTGAACCCACGGTTCTGCGTCTCCTGTATTGCAGGCGGATTCTTTACCACTTGAGCTACTGGGAAGCCCTCTCCTTCACGGACTGGGCCCCGTTTCTCCCCTGAGAGCCCCAGGTATGTGCTTCACTCTGCTTGGGACATCACGAGCCTCTTAAAGATGGAGTCATTTGTCATCTATCTTCCTACCCTTGCAAACAGCAGGCCCTCACAAAAGCTTGTTGGATTCACTCCCTGGCACTTTAGAGCAGCAGGGCACCCCGCACAGTGGTGTCAACGACAGGGCAGAGGGAAATGGTGGACACCCTGACCACCGCCTCCAGTCCACGTACTCGGCCCGCTGACTGGCTCGCCTTTCACAGTGTCCATCTCCTTGATAGTTACCTGTTCATTCGAAGGTTCCCGCACCAATCTGTCGGTGTCCTGATGGAAGGACCAAGCCTGTCTGGCTTCTTCCTGGATCCTCACACCCCCATTGGCTCTGACTTGTTGACTGTGCTCATAATCAGAGGTCACACAGATAAATCAAAACGTGAACAGATATTGAGCAAATGGCTGAATCTGTATCTTTGGAGAGCAAGTGGTATCCTGTGTCATTCTGCGGAGACGCACGTATTTCTTGGAAGGAATAATGCCTCTCAAGGGAACGAAAAGGCCATCCTTTGATGCATTAGGTCCCGCTGGGTGATGACATTAGGCCTGTGACTTCCCAGAGTGAATCTAGGAAGGCTCGGCTCACTGTCCACTGTCCAGAGATCTGATCCGGCACCAGCACAGCCACTGGATTCTGACTCTCCACTGAATGTCAAGACTTATTAAGACACAAAAACCAAGCATAAGGTGCTGAGCTGGAAGGTATGATTGGTGTATATGACAGGGTGGGAGGGGTGTTTATGATGGACAGGCTGGAAGAGGAGCTCATTGGCTGCTCCGCATGCCTTTTCATGTACACAAACTCATCGCCATGGCAATTGTTTTCCCCGCAAGTTCCCTCCAAGCAGCCATTTGTGTTTCTTGATTTCTACACAAAGATGAACTTGTTAGGTCCTGTTAGACAGAAACAAGACAAACGCACCAACAACACAGGCTCCCCATGCCCAATTTCCCTTGGGCTAATCACAACTTGCCTGAGATGCCCCTTCAGGTGGCTTAAAATGAGAAGCTTGATGGTTAATTTAAATAACAGGCAGTGTCAGCACCACCATCTGCGGAGGGCCCCCAACCCTTCAGCTGTTCCCCATCAGCAGAGGATCTGTCTTCTGGCCCAGCAAGATTATAAAAGCCCCGGGCCAGGCGACCCCAGGGCTCCCCCAAGTGCCAGTACTGGAGTCGTCATGACCGGGTCTTTCTGGGAACCTGCAGTGCCTGCCCCAATGCCCAGCATCCCCTTTGGCCTGGCAGTTTACTGATTTCATCCTTTTCCATCCCTACTAAAGGAAACCCGATTGACTTGACCTATTATTGCTCTTCTGTTAATGACTGGCGTAAATATTACCTTCTAATGACACAGAATTTTGAATCCCCCCACCCCCCAAATACATTGGCTGGGTTTTTACTGTCTCGTTTTTCCAAACAGTCTTGTTTTCATTCTCCTAAGATTTTAGGGGCCACTCCCTGGGGTGATGAAGTGAGAGTGAGCCAAGCAGGTCTCTTTCTTCCCGAGAAAGTCTCCAACCTGGAGGGGGCGGGGTCCAGGAAGGCCCCGTGCCGGTCCTCAGCTGCCTGTGCGAGGGAAACCTTGTTCACGGCAGGGAGGCTGAGGCCACCAGGGGGCAGCATTCACCACGCTGGGATAGAGGCAGGTGTGGGCCCCAGCTGCGACCCCAGCCGCCCCCCGACCCCAGGCGGGGTCTGAGGAATCTCCGTTTGGTGAATGAGCCATATTGAGCTCCCAGAAGCATGGGAGAAGCACCAGCCACGTGGGGCTGGAGCTGATCCGTGAACTCCATGATGAGTCTCTCCAGGAACCTGGGGAGGAGGGGGAGGTGAGAATGGTGGAGAAAGAGGGCGTCACCAAACAGCGGGGGGAGGGAGAGAGTGGGGGTAAGGGCCCAGGGCTCCACTCTTCCATCCCTTCCTTCACCTGACACAGTTTCTGAGCTCCTACTCCGAGCCACACACGGGCACTTTCCCAGAGATGAACTAAAGGACAGAAGATTAAAAAAAAATACTCTTTCTCAGGCGTCCCTGGTGGCTCAGCTGGTAAAGAATCCGCCTGCAATGCAGGAGGCATGGGTTCGGTTCCTGTATTGGGAAGATCCCCTGGAGGAGGACATGGCAACCCACTCCAGTAGTCTTGCCTGGAGAATCCCATGGACAGAGGAGCCTGGGGGGTTACAATCCACAGGGTTGCAAAGAGTCGGCTGCGACTGAGCATGCACGCAGGTTGGAATAAAGGTTTTATCTGTCTTTCATAATGTTCAGAAGTGGGCAGCCCAGGGCAGTTGAGAGGGCTTAAAACTGCCCCCCATCCTCAGCTTGCTCTCTCAGCCCCAGCCTGTTGCTGTGATTGTGAGGAAGTTGGGAGTCCTTAGCCCATATCCACAGAGTGGGAGGCGGGAAACAAACATGGAAAAGGCAAAAGGAAGGAGGCTATACTGTTAACCTAAAGTAGGGGCTCCTGACCTCCACGAGAGCCTGCCTGGCGTCCTTCTCTTTCTGAATTTTTCCACCTCTCCCTTCCCTCCTGCACTTGCTGCCTGAAAACATCAAAACCTTATATAAAATGAAACAACTGGCTTCTCCACAAACAACAGCCCCTTCAACTAGCTTTTTTCTTCTCTAAATATTTCTTTAATATTGTGTCTTTGATTTCAAGACATTTCAACAACACCCCTAAAAGATCTCAACATTTTCCCTGAACTCGAAAAATAAAAAATAAAACACTCTGCTGAGAAGAAAAGGAAAATTGTATGTTCTTTTGTTTACATGAGTGTACAGAAAATCTTTACAGATCTCCACGTGGCCTTGGTGATTTTCCATTGTGATATGGAAAGAGAAATGGATAAACGGGACTTTGCAACCAATCTCAGGGGATTTCTTTTCTATTTGGGTGACCCCCGAAAGGCTTCTGAGCATAGAGTTATTTTTGAAAGAAAAGAGGAAACGCTGAGGGCTGGCCACCATTAACAATAGTTCACCCAGATGCTAACTTATTCTGATGTTTGCTGGGTTTTATTTTTATTTAATCTGATGTTTTGATATAATTGTCGGCATTTTGTTTTTGACCGTAAACCAGTATAATTCATCTTGGGCTTGCCAAGAGAGGCAATGGACTGTCAGTGATTAAGATGCAATCTATTTTCTTAAATTTATGACTTAAATTATGTTCATCGAGATGATGTTGAGTGAGGTTCATGGGGAAGGGGTGGGGACGTGGCACTGCTTCGCTCCTCACTCACTTTGATCATAATTTACCCTTCGATCACCTGGAATAGGAGCTTATTTCTGCTCACCCAAAGCTTCCACCAAGAGGCCCTGGGAAGAACTTGAGCCACGTCCTGACCTATGAATTCTGGATGCAAAATGTGTAGATTCAGAATGAAGAACTGCTTTCTTAAAATTCTGAGCTATGTAAATTCTTGGTATAGTGGACTGAGTATTGAGCTGGGAGTCAGTTAATGCATTCCTCCAAAAAGCATTAAGAAGAAAGTTGTTATCATGCCCATTTTACAGATGAAGGTACTAAGACGTGGAGGGTTGAACTAATTTGCCCAAATCGGCAAATAGTAGAGACTTGGAGCCTCGGATTCCAGCACAGGCTCCTCCCTTAGAGGCTGGGCTCTCAAAGACTCTCTTTGTGACCTCGTGTAAATCCCCTCCCTTCTCTGGGCCCTAGCTTCCTCTTCTCTAAAACAAGAGGGCTTGCTTGGCTGGTTTCTAGGATCCTTTCTAGCACTGACTACAGATAAAATTTCATGATCTTCCTCCAAGTCTAGCAGGCATCCAGACTTGAGTAGGAGGTTGCAGTCAAGTTTCCTCTCCAGAGTCTGAAGAAAGAGAATTTAGTATGGATGGAAAGAAATAGCACTTAGTAAGGGAATATTTGTGCTATTAATACACATTTTACGCATGCACTTGGCTGCCATTCTATCTTTACCGTAACTTAATAAGGTAAGTATTTTTATCATCCCCATTTTACAGATGTAGAAACCGAGGTTCAGAGAAGGACTGTGGTCACACAGTTGAGGAGTGGTGGAGCCAGGCTTAGCCTCCAGATTCCCACAGAAGCCTGTCCTTCCCCTATCAAAGCACACGCTGTAATCACCCGATATCTGTGCAGTCTAGACCATGAGTTCTGAGCGGAAGGACTGAGTTTAGTCTCTCTGTCTGCTGATGGGGCTGCAGTATGCTCTCCTCTGCTTAGTCGCTCAGCCGTGTCCGACTCTGTGACCCGTTGGGCTGTAGCCCGCCAGGTTCCTCTGTCCTCGGGATTTTTCAGGCAAGAACACAGGAGTGGTTGCCGTTCTCTGCCCCAGGGGATCTTCCCCACCTCGGGAATGAACACGAGTCTCTGTGTCTCCTGGACTGCAGGTAGATTCTTTACCTGCCGAGCCATCAGGTAAGCCCTGTCTGTCGAGGGGACTGCGAAGAGTCTGGCCTGAAACAGATGATCAATAAACATTGTCCAATGGCTGTGTGCATGCGACACCCCAGTGTTCACTCTCACCACTGAGGTAACTGCATAGAAGGGGTCTCAGTTATAAGGGAAAAAAAAGCAAGTGTGGGGAGCAGGGCTCAGAAACAGTCTTTATTTACAGGGTCAACATCATGAACTGACTCAGTTCCCAAACCTGGATGCTCACCCTCTTTCACAAGTTCAGAATTGAGCTCAAATTGAGCAAATGTGTTGTCGAAATTCGTCTATTTTCTCTAAATAAACTCCTAGTAAACCAGGAGGCCTGTGACCTCATTCTCTTTTCATGCTGGCTGTGGTGTAGTTAGAAAGCTTACTCTTGAGTTTTTTTTTTTTTCTTTGTGCTTTTCAATAGTTTCAAAATTTTTGTATAATGATTTTTTAAAAGCAAATTAAGTGCTTACTTGTTTTAACGCAAGATCAATAATGAGATTGGATCTTCATCCTTCGATGCTTTGGAAAGCAGAAAAGTGNTGTGTGTGTGTGTGTGTGTGTGTGTGTGTGTGTGTGTGTGTGTTGGGCAAGCAGAGGTGTAAACAGGCTCCACAATCTGTAAAACAGCTGACCGCACACCTGAGAATTCCTTCCTGAAGATATGGCCTTCCCAAGAGCACTCCCTTTTAAAACTCTGGGTCTGCAACAAGCATATTAAAGACATATTTCACCAATCTTGTCAAAGTCAACTTGGCTTTTGAGAGTAGATGAAGGAGAGCCAGTGAACACATAACAGATGTATATCATCTCCTGAAGAGGGGAGTGGCAGGAGGGCCCAGGTTGGGAAAGCTGGGAGCCTGTCTTTTCTCCACCACACTGAGTCACCTTGCCCAAAACCCACTGTGAGCATTTTGCTTATGTTGTCTCATTTAGGACCACAAGAGTCCTGGGAAGGAGGCACCAGTCTCCCCATTTACAGATGGGGAAAACTGAGGCCCAGAGAAGTTAAGTCATCTGCCCAACATCCCCCTCCCACCCCCACCCCTAGCACTTCAAGGATACATGGAAGCCAGACTTTAATCCCAAAAGAGCCCAGGCTTCACTGCTCCCACTGTTGCCTCTATCGAGGCAGATCCAGGTTTAGGAGTGACTGTCCAGAGAAGGGATAAAAAAAGCAAGGGTGGGTTGGAACACAAGCTCCTGACTCTGGAGGCCAAATTACCCACTTTAGACCCCAGCAGGCTGCGGGGAGGACATCATTGGTTCAAGTGTTCTGTGAGCTGGTGCATGAAGTCTTTTATGTTTTTTCCCATTAATGCATTCTGTACTTACACTTCTTACTATAATTACTGTGCAGTAATTAACAAGGGAAAATAACACATCTGGGTCTATACTGCAACTC